CCCTTCTTCAGAAATTTCTGAAGAAGGGTCTAGGCCCGAAACGTCAGCTTTCCTGCTCCTCTGATGCTGCTTGGCCTGCTGTGTTCATCCAGCTCTACACCTTGTTATCTCAGATTCTCCAGCATCTGCAGTTCCTACTATCACTAAATGTACCTGCTGTTTTGCAATGGATATTAATGATGGTGTGAAGAGCTTAACTTCCTGAACACATAATTTATAATGTCAGAAGACCACAATGTACAAACACTTGATCTTAACATGGGTTTAGAATGTTGATGGCCAAGTAACACAATCAACCACTTTACAAATTAATGCACATTCAGGATCCCTTCATAACAACGTGAAATTTGTACCACAACTAAAGCCTAAATTGTTTTGGTTGGAAATGATCAGGTGATAAAGTGCGACCTCAAACTGATATTCCTCGCTGGACAGTTGCCATTCAGGATGAATAGGAGTTACGTCCAGGAATGTGAGGAATGTAGAGTACAATCTCGGCTGAATACATTTTGAAGCCTGTTCTTACTGCTGGGTTACTCATTATCAGCTAATCCCTAAGCTCAATAAAGATAAACTTAACAATTCTTATATTTTGGATCTTGCTGTGTACCGATAGCAGATCTGTTAACATAATAGCAGTCACCACTCTCCAAAACAACCCACCATACACGAAGCGCTTTAAGACCTACATAAAATACACTAACTAAAGCTGTTAATACTAAATTTACTATTCAGTACAAGATGTGTGATTTAACATCATCAAGAAATGGTAGCAGCATGGGCTACTCTTAAGAAAAAGACTTAAAAGGGCAATTGGATAAATAATTGAAAGCTCAGGTACTTCTACTTTTTTTCCCCCACAGTTTCCTTTTTATTATTCAGCAAAGTTGTGATGATCGAGGATGGTGTGGGATAGGAGGGGTGGGAAGGGAAGAACAATATTAATTTTCTTGGGAAAAAATGGTTTTCAGTGTTTTTTTTGAAAAGAATGACCCAATTCTAACTGAATCACCAGATTATATCTGAAATATAAAATTGCAAATTGCTAAATGGCATTCTGGAGGTTAAAATCCTGAAGTTCTGTTCTGTTCAGACCAGTGTCAGGGCAATGAGAATAAATTTACTCAAATATGCAAGCCAGCTGAATAAACACGCAGCTAGAAACAGTTATTAAAGCAGCCAGCAACAAGCTCTGCTTTTCTATTTCAAGGATTTACATTCATGGTAAAGAGGATTAATTATAACACATTATATTCTTAAAGCTCAATGTGTAAATATGCAGTTTTATGTGGTTCTAAGAGGTCAGGGACCAAGAAGTATCCTATTCTGAAAGTCTGACCTGTGCCATGTTAGCTGAAGTCAGCTTAGGACCAAAGGATGTCAAGGGGTTCCTGGATGGAAGCATGGACCATAAGTGTGAACAAGACTGAATACAGCTGTAGTGGGGTTACAGCTGTGTCTTGTTCCAGAAAATCTGCTAACACTTCCTGCAAATTCATACATGAACAGTCATTCAGATGTTTTCTTGGAATGGTAGCCAGTGGAACCATACTCAAATCAGCACAGCGACTTGTTGGAACAGACGAGAAGATAATTCAAAACTTATGACCAACTTATGTTTTAAATGGACTAAACAGCAACAAGAATGATTTATTTTGTAAATGTGGCTTAATCACGCCAACTATAGATTTTACAAATATAAATAATTACCTGCTTTCCTTTGGCAAATCAAGCCATTTAAGAACTGTGTAAATTCTTTCTTCAAATGAAGTAGAACTTGAAAGAGGAAAAATACACAATTTTGTGAATTTGTAGTTATTCTTAAGTTTCAGTGCTAAATGAAGGAAGACAAGTTTTACTGCCACATAACTGAATTGTTTTGTAATTCATAATATTCCCAAATAGTTTGGTCATTTTCATCTTTACCATTTGGATTATCAATCATTAAAATTTGCTATCTACTTATTGTACAATTTACGATTTTCATTTCCTTGGTGAATCTGCCTTTCATCGACTACCACAGGTCTACTGAGTCACAAAATGATTGTCACTAAGTATCTATGGTCAAAGCATTCCCCACTGGTATCATTAGGCCAGATGGAGAGACTGTTCAGTATTAGTTTGGGCTGACAAGTGGCAAGTGACGTTTGTGCCACACAAATGCCAGGCTATGACCATCACCAATAAGAGACAAACTAACCACTGTCCTGGTGTTACCATCACTGAATCCCGCACTATCAACATACTAGGTGTTATCATTGACCAGAAACTCAACTGGACTCACCACATAAACACAGTGACTACAAGAGCAGGTCAGAAACTAGGAATACTGTAGCGAGTAACTCACCTCCTGACTCATCAAAGCCTGTCCACCATCTACAAGGCACAAATTAGGAGTGTGATGGAATAATCCCCACTTGCCTGGATGGGTGCAGCCCCAACAACACTCAAGAAGCTTGGCACCATCCAGGACAAAGCAGCCCACTTGATTGGCACTACATCCACAAGCATCCACTCCCCCCACCACCGACGCTCAGTAGCAGCAGTATATACTATCTACAAGATGCACTGCAAAAATTCACCAGATAACACCTTCCAAACACATGACCACTTCCATCTGGAAGGACAAGGGCTTCAGACATTTGGGAACATCACCACCTCCAAGTTCCCCTCTAAGCCACTCACCATCCTGACTTGGAAATATATCGCAGTTCCTTCACCATCGCTGCGTCAAAATCCTGGAATTCCCTCCCTAACAGCATTGTGGGTCAACCCACAGCAGGAGGATTACAGCGGTTCAAGAAGGCAACTCACCACCAGCTTCTCAAAGGCAACTAGGGATGGGCAAGAAATGCTGGCCAGCCAGCGATGCCCACATCCCACAAAAATGAATAAGAAAAAAAATTAGTGATGCAGCAGGAATAGGCACACGCTCTGTATGACAGGACATGTGTGTCTTCCCAACAGCACCTTGGCATGCTCAAAATAAAGTTCAGAATAATACCAATGCCTCCATTAACTCAAAATACAAATTGAATGATACTTTGGTAAACAAAGAAAATAAACCAGCTATTGTTCTACTCACTTATCATACAGTTTGTAAAAATTTGGATATGATCCATTTATCTTGACTTCAGATCCAGGCCAGAAAAAGGTACCTGTCTTCAAACCCTGATACATTGCTGTCAACCACAACTATAAGAAGAAAAAATGAAGTTAATATCTAATATCAAATCTCTGTACAATCTTCACAACATTCCTTTTAATCTTGAAAAAAAATCATTTATTTTCATTCTTCATAGACACAAATAACCAAAATGTTGGGTGCATGGCAGCAGCAGGACATAAAACTCTGAATCTTACCATTTTTCTCGATCAGTCTCATTGAATTTCATGAAGGATATCTCTCCATAAGTTCAGTACGTTTTCTCGCCGTCTTACAAAACTTACCTTATTATTGAATCAAAAATTGAATCAACAAAATATCAAAGACTGACTGACACTATCCCTGTGGTATCTCACTTGTGCAATTCTCGTCCCATTCTACCATCCGCCATTCCCAGAACAACTCGCCGCAGCAGGGTATATGTTGCTATTGACTGGCATCCTGGGAACCAGCACTTTTCTGTAAAAGGCCATTGTGCAACTTGACAAATACTGTTAGCATGGAGCTGCCCTACACAGTTCCTGATATTCGCCCTGGACATGGCAGCCAAGGGAAAATTGACAGCTTACTTTGTGAACAGGGACCTGGAGGTCATGGTGGACAGAGTGGTGCAGATGCAGAATTTTCTCTACCCCCACCCATGCCCAGAACCAGCAGAGGATGCACGGCATCCGACCATGCCAGCCCAGTTAGAGTTGCCACTTTGAATCAGCCATCTGGAGGAATGCATACCAATGCAGGAAATCAATTACCTTCTCACTTTTTCTTTGCTGCCGCCATGACCACCCACCAAGTCTCATGCCTTACGTCTCTCATGATTGCCTGCAATATCTTCCCTCATTCACCGTCACCCACCCCAATCTCTGACACCAATAACTCTTCATGCGCTATGCACAGCCTATTTATTCTCTTGAGCCACCTGATCACCAGCACTAAAAGCGTCTGCTGTGCCACCCATTTTCACTTCCTTTAAAGCTGCCTTTCTCTCATTCCAGGAAGGAAACAGCCCACAGCAGGGCAGAAAGCATCCAGATGGCTGGTACTTTGCCCAGCATTCAGGTCATCACCCCTTACATGGGCAGCATTCTGACCCTGACAGTCCTCACCAAGACCCTCGACAGTTATCAGAGATTGCCCTCGACTCACTGTGCCAGGACACCTTTACTGCAGGGTCTCTCTCTTGACCTAATTGTGAATCCCGCTTACAGCCATGACAAGCCTCCTGGTTTTGATCTCTGTGCAGTATGGCACAGCAGTACTGTAAGCCTCTGTGATGTACCTCTCGCAAAGGAGTGAGGCACAAAAAGTCAAGGCAAAGTAGGGATCAGAGTTGGCTCAAATGAGCGAGCACTAAAACGACAAGTGAGTCCATGAACTGGTGCATTGTCATACAGCATGGAAACAGACCCTTCAGTCCATCCAGTCCTTGCTGACCATAATCCCAGTCTAAATGCGCCCCACCTGCCTGTGCTTGGCCCATATCCCTCCAAACATTTCTTATTCATATACTTATCTAAATGTCTTTTAAACATTGTAACTGTACCTGCATCCACCAGTTCCTCTGGAAGTTCATTCCACACACGAACCACTCTCTGTGTAAATAAATTGCCCCTCATCTATTTTTTAAATCTTTCTCCTCTCACCTTAAAAATATGCCCCGCCCCCATCCTCCAGCTTGGGAAAAGATACCTGCCATTCACCTTATCTATACCCCTCATGATTTTAGAAACCTCTAAGGTCACACCTCAACCTCCTGCACTCCAGTGAAAAAATTCCCAGCCTATGCAGCTTCTCTCCCAATAACTCAAAACCCTCCATTCCCAGCAATATCCTAGTAAATCTCTTCTGAACCCTCTCCAGCTTGATACTATCCTTTCTATCACATGGAGACCAGAACTGGACACAGTACTCCTGTACAATATCAACATGACTTCCCAACTCCTATACTCAAAAGGTCTGAGCAATGAAGGCAAGTGTGCTAAACGCCTTCTTAACCAGCTTGTCTACATGTGACACAAACTTCAAAGAATAATGTAGCTGAGCCCCTTGGTCTCTCTGTTCTACAATACTACCCAAGTCCCTACTTTTAACTGTACACATCCTGAGGTTGTTTATATTACCAAAATGAAATACTGCACATTTAACTAAATTAAACTCCACCTGCCACTCCTCAGCCCATTGACCAAATTGAACAAGATCTCATTATAATCTTAGATAATCTTCTTCACCGTCTACTATACCACCAACCTTGGTGCCATCTGCAAACTTACGAACCATGCCTTCTATATTCTCATCTAAAATCATTTCTCCAAACGACAAACAAAAGTGAACACAGAACCGATCCCTGTGGAACATCACAGGTCACAGGCCTCCAGTCTGAGAAACAACCCTCCACCACCATGCTAAGCTCATCTGAATCCCACGTGACCAAATTATTCCAATTAGTCGGGCATGCGGAACCACCTTACATGTCCCTTAGCCAAGTATCCTTGCTGCTGCATTAGAACGACAGTGGCCACTGCAGCCTGAGGTGCAACATGTGTGACGGGATGTCTTAGTGGCTGACACATCAGATATCAATGTGGGACGCATATGGTTCATGGAACATGCCGAGATGTTGGTGGCTGGTGAAGTCGCTCAGTACCAACTCTGACTTTCCGTGTCAAACATTCTCAGCGTCTAGTTCATTTGATGTGTTTGGCAAGAGAGGAAGCTGCATATCGATGAGACATGATGTACAGTTAATAAGGTGTTTAATAAGCTATAAACCTTCCCAAAAAGCAACTCTCCACTGCCTAGCAAGAATCTCACATCGACACCCAGCAATTGTATAAAAGATGCAGCGAGTTGTTGCCGATGGCGAGACAGGCTTCGCTGGTCTTCGTTTGTGAACCCACCACATTATTCACCCTAACCCATGTCATTCCAACCATTGTAAGATTCCATTTGGAGTTTCCATTCTGTCAGGTCACAGATATACTAGATTTGACTCAAAAACATGAGTGGTTACAGAGAATAAAATGAATATGATCTTTCCAGATTACCTTAGATATTTTGTAACAATATAATGGCCAACTTGCTTCCCACAAGTATCTCAGTGAGGATATCAGCAAAGAGAACCAAACAAGATCCCTGATCTCCCAGACAATTGAAAGAAAAAAAATGACAAAGAAGGTATATCTGGAAACAATATATACCAGCCAAAGCAAAGAGAAAGCTGTAGCACATTACTGAAGCTGGGAGGGATTATCAGTGAATTCTTCTATTTTCCTGGAATTCATCTATCAGTCTTCCAGATTACTACAGCTATTGCGATTTACAGCCTTAATTGTCTCACCACATGGAAGCCTCGCACTCAGGTCTGCCCTGGCTCCATTGTCAATTCAAGGCCTCTCCAGGAACAAGTGGCAAATGTGTGTTTCTCAGAATGAAGAGAAGGATACAGTGGTCCTATCCAGGGATCAGTAGGAGGACCTCTGCCCTTAGTGATAGACAGTTTCCGATATATTGCAATGACTGTGATGTGGACATACAGAGATTGATTTCAAAGTCTGCAGATGATAAAGAACTCTACATTGTAGTAAACAATGAGGGGAGGATGCAAACAGATTGGTAAAATAAGCAGACACACAGCAGATAAAATTTAATAGTAAAAGAAAGTGTGAACTGCTACATTTGATGATGATGATGAGGAGAGGCAAGTTGAAATAAAACTACTAGTTTAAAGGGGATGCAGGAACAGACAGTGTGACTTTCCCTTCTCTAAGATGATGACAGTAATGACAAGCACGATGAACTAATCAGACGAGAGCACTAAAATCAGATTCTTACTGTTGAATTGAACTATAGCTCTCAACGGCAATGTGTAAAAGTCAAAATCAAGGTGTCCTCAGTGAAGAGAGGGCAGAGTTCAGTAAGGGGTATCACCATATTCAGTCTAGGGACTGGACCATTTATAGACCACAGGGAATGGCCACTGTCAATAAGGCAGGTGGTCCTTCACAAGTCTGGGAACTTGGTCAGTATCAGTACTGACAGGCAAGTGAAATCAGTTTGGACCTTTTTGGTCAGTCAGTCATATCCTATTGCAAAGTCAGGGTGGAGGACATCCTAGCAAGGTAGACTAGGGAGTGAGCGCAGTCAATCAGTGGTGGGGCTGGGGGGTGGGGTGAAATATCATCAGGGGCTTTTCAGGGGTCCAGCGTTGACACTGTTCAGGGCTCTAGGAATTTGAAATATCACGCCTCATTATATTCAGTTGCTGAGGCAATGTTCACAGTAATTGGGGGCAACTGCCAATAGGGTTGGACTTGGTACTTTATTGGAGGGGGCTGGCAAGGCAAAGCCCATCATGGTCACTCTGACCTTGATATGTGGCAGGTACAGGGTCAACAAGGGCAGCAGGAACTCGAGATTCATGAGCTCCAGGGTAAGGCAGATATATTTATGATAACGTAAAGATGCTCAACAAAAATGGGGGTGGAGGAAGGATCTTTGGGGATACATAATGTCTCCTATTATCTTGTAATCTAAGAATGGGGTTCATTCACAAGTCACAGGTGGATCCTGCAGGTAACTCATGCCAATGCAAATTGGAACCTTACATACTGTACAAGAAGGTTTCAATGTAGAGCAGTACCCTCAAAATGATAGAAGTAAGTTTCTTCATGGGGCAAAGTGTGGAGTTTGTGTACAAGATCCTCTACAAGACAACTGCAGTCACCATGACTGCAATGAATAAACGATGCTATTAATCTGCCTTCAATTTACAATTAAAGTAGAAACCAATATTCAGAGCATCCAGTTCTGCAGTGTCCTCACAAAATAATCATTAGACTTACATTGTACCCTCTGATTGCCATTTTGTGATCTCCGAGATCAACAAATCTGAATGTAATAATACACTTTTGATCGCAATCTCATCTTCCCAGTTGATTTGATTTGATTTATTGTTGTCACATTCACCAAGATGCAGTGAAAAGTGTTGTTTTGTGTGCTCTACAGGCAGATCAAAGTGCATCAGTGTGCAGAACACGGTGTTACAGCTGTAGAGAAGGTGCAGAGTGCGAGATCAACATTAACATTTGAGATGTCTGTTCAAAAGTCTGATAACAGCGGGGAAGAAGCTGTTCTTGAATCTGTTTGTATGTGCATTGAAACTTTTATATGTCTGCCCAACGGAAGAGAATATAACCAGGGTGGGAGGGGTCTTTGATTATGTTGGCCAGAGCACACAGTCTGAAGGACTGCAAACGAATGTATTACGGCTGTTTTATCCTCACACATAACAGGTAACTAGGACATGACTATTGACATAGAAGGTGGAGTGAGGGAGAAAGAATGTTAGAAGGAAGCCTCTTGGCACCTGCTCCATGCTGAGACACTATGGACACTTTGTTAGGTCACTGAGTTAAGAGCACATCTGTTAAACACTTTATGAGTGCATGTGGTTCCTCGCAGAGGTTCTACACTCCTCCCAGAGAGCATAACATGTAGCTTCATTGCAAAGGGTATTAGGAACAGGAGTCCCTTTCATAAAGGCTGTGTGTCCTATCTTGTATTTCTCACAGATCTACTTCAAATGAGATTCAACGGTTCAATCCTGTTGTATTTCTGGTGGGGCTGTTAACATGCAGAAACAGCTATAAAAACAGCTTAAAAGAGCAGGTTTTGCAGGCACAACAAGAACAGCAGCAGCTACCATCACTGCTGGCTTTTATAACTGCTGTGGAACCTCTAGAGGCAGAAGCAGCTGCACATGAACAACTACAGAGCAGCTTTCTAGCACAGAATGGATTGTCAGGCTTATTTTTATTCATTCAAGGAATGTGAACATCGCAGGTTGGGACAGCATTCAGGCTGTCCTAAAACGAGGTGGCGGGGAACTGAGTTCTTCAGCCTACTCGGTGTACGCTGTAAAGAAGGGAGTTCCAAGGTTTTGATTCAGTTACTCTGAAGGAATGGTGATGTATTTCTAAGTCAGTATGGTGGGTGACTTGGAGGGGAACTCACAAGTGTTGGTTTACCCATGTATCTTCTACCTGTCTTTCTAGATGGTTGTAGTTGTAGGTTCAGTGTTGTCGAAGGAGCCTTGGTGAATTTCTGCAGTCCGTCATGTAGATGGTATATAGTACTGCTACTGAGCATCAGGAGTGTGTGTGCTTGTGGATATAGTACCAATCAAGCTGGCTACTTTATCCTGGATGGTGTCAGATTGCACTTGACCACTCAAGTGGTTCTATCCTGACTTATGCCTTGTAAATGGTGGACAGGCTTGGGGGGAGTCAGGAGGCGAGTTACTTGCTGCAGGATTCCTAGCCACTTTTAAAGTAGAAGTATTCATATGGATGGTCCAGTTGAGTTGCTGGTCAATGGCAACCCCAGGATATTGATTTTGGGGGATTCAGCGATGGTAACGTCAATGAATGTCAAGAATTGATGGTTACCTGCCACTCTCTTGGCGCAATCTAACTTGCCACTTTTCAGCCCAAGTCTGGATATTGTCCAGATCTTGCTGCATTTGGACCTGGACTGTTTCACTATCTGAGAAGTCATGAATGGCACTAATCATTCAGCAGTGAACATCCCCACTTCTGACTTTATGATGGAAGGAATGTCTTTAATGAAGCAGTATAGGTGGCTAGGCTGAAGACACTACACCGAATAACTCCTACAGAGATATCTGGAGCTGAGGTGACTGAACTCCAGGAACCACAACCACCTTCCTTTGTGCCAGGTGTGACTCCAGGGCTCCTTTATGACACACTTAGTTATATGTGGCCTTCATGTCAAGGGCTGTCACTCTATTTCACCTCTGGAATTCAGTTCTTTTGCCCATGCTTGAACCAAAGCTGTAATGAGCTCAGGAGCTGAGTGGCCCTGGCAGAACGCAAACTGAACATGACTGAGCAAATTATTGCTAAGCAAATACTGCTTGATAGCACTGATGATGATGCCTTCAATCACTTTTTTGATGGTTGAAGTAGACTGATGAGGTGGTAATTGGCCAGATTGGATTTGTCCTGTGGGACTATTAATCCAGAAACTCAGATAATATTCTGGGGACCCACGTTCAAATCCTGCTATGGCAGATGGTAGAATTTGAATTCAATAAAGAATCTGGATTTCAGGGTCTAATGATGACCATGAAATCATTGTCAGTTGTTGAAAAGACCCATGTCCTTTAAAGGAAGGAAATCTGCCATCCTTACCTGGGCTGGCCTACATGTGACTCCAGACTCACAACAATGTGGATGGCTCTTAACTACCCTAGAGATGGTCAATAAATGATGGCCTAGCCAGCAGCACCCACATTCCGTGAGTGAACTAAAATAAAGACAGGACATTGACCTAGCATCCTTTAACATTGTGACAATGTTTCAAATATCTCAGGAGGGTCAAATAACATTGTCATTTTTGTCAAATATGTTCACAGCTATGTCAATCAATATTGATGTTGATTCATAGACATCTGTGTAAAATTCAAGCTGAAGAACTAAAATTAAAAACTGCAAATATCAAAAATTTAAAGACAACATGCTGGAAATGTGTTAACTTGGGATTCTTTTGTTACCAACATGCTATGCATATCCAGCATGTCCAATTTTTATTTCAATGAGGAAAACAGGCATTTTTCAGACTTTCACAAATTGAATTTATTCATCATTCCCTTAGTAGAATGAACGTACAAATGAAATGTATCATAAGATGATAGCTGTGTTGTAATGTTTTATGGAATATTTTTAGCATTATTCACTTTAAATCCTCGGGTCAAATAAGGTCAGCATTAATACACTGCGCTTGAAATGATTGCCTAATTCTTAGTTTGGTCTACTGATAGAATATCTTCTAGTTAGAGAGGGAACATCTCCTTGTAAAAGTGCTGTTAAAATTGGTCAAAGCTGAAAATGCTTTAAACATGGAGACAATGGATTCACTATAATAGTTAACAAAGAACGACAAGCAGTGATATTATTTTGCATCTGAACTGAAGTAAATCCCTTATATTGTGCACAAAGCAGTTAACTAGAACACAAAACTTAGGATCATTTCAGATTCAGGCATCACGTGAGAACTATTTTGAATTCAAATAATAAGCAATGCCAGCACTGGAGATTTAGGTTTCTTGATTTAACTTGAGCACATTTTATTCACACAAAAAAAAAGCAGGAAAAATTTTAGACTTAAAGACCACAGTTTTTGATCGCTCAGGCACAGAATTCTGCTTGCATCAGCAGATGTCAAGAAGTTTGGTTATGTTTACCTTCCCACTCATCTGGAGCACGATACAGAGGATGTGGAGGTGGGAACTAAATGCGTGCAGTGTGAACATCTTTAGTTTTAAGAATTAACAAAATAATAACACTGCACCCACAATCAGAAACCACTGTCGATTGGGATAATCAATTAATTAGAAAAAAAAGGCACATTTTGATGTAGTGCGGAGTTAACTTTCAAGCAGTAACATAGAATATTTTGTGTCATTTAAAAGGTATGGGTTCAAATACAGTAATTGCATTAGCTCTGCACAAACCAAGCCACTGAATTGTCCATGAAGTTAGGGGCAGAATTTCATGCTCCTCTGGATGGATAGAATTGGAGACGATAATAAAAGGATTAAACTATGCAATATGCTAATAAGACATTTCATCGCAGGAAGTGATGTAATGTCACATCGTCTTCATCATTCAGCCTCATGGCAAGATGAAGTCACAATCAGAGATTTCTTAACAGAATTATGCTTCCTTTACATCAGCAGACTATGTGACTATTCTGTATTAGTCTAAGACCAAGAATATTTTACAGACCCCTGGCCCTTGCAATTTCATCCAGAGCTTGATCAGTACGAGCCGACGGTCAGTGGCCAAATAAGACTGTTAAATGTCCACTACTAGTAATTCTAGCAATGACCAGAACGGAACTTGCCCCATGAGGAGCAACTGCACAACAAATCCTGTTGGGCTTTCCCATGGCTAACTAGAGGTGGATCCATCATGCACGTGCACATCTGTGCCCACTTGCGGGACCCAGCATCAAGGAAGGCAGGCACACCCCTGTGCTTTTGCTGTCAGCTACGCTTCTGCTACCCTTTCTGGCATCACTCACCCTAGTAGCCCTATTCTGTCTCAGTTACCTCTCTCCAAAGATACATTAGCAGGCCCAGATGAAAGACAGTGTTACACTGACAGCAGACATTGTTTCTGCTGCTAGTATTGGACATTTGCTGGCGTCACATTGGTGTCAGTTCTGTCGGATGTCTACTCTCAAAAGGAGTCCAGATCCTGCCCAAGTATGTGCCTGATACTTAAAGTTCCACAGAAGTTCCCAAACTGTTCAATACTGGGTGAATGCAGACCCTGCACAAAGTGTCAACTGAATGCACATTTATTCTTCATGTAAGATTATATTGGATGCACAGGCAAAGCAGAGACAAGCACGGGAATTCCTAGAGGCCTGGTTCTCCACTAAGAAAGCCATCAATAAACACTTTGAACTAGACCCCATATACACACCATTGCGAAGGGAAACCAGGAGTGAGGTAATCCAGCTCAACGGACACCAGGGTTTAAATAACAAGTGGGAAAACACAATGGTGCTTCATCGGAGGTCGCACTGATGATGTTACCCAGCAGGATAATGAAACGTCTGCGGAACAATGGACCAGCTTGGCAAGCCAACCAACCACAAATGCATCCATGCCATTCACTTCAACCACTCTCTTTGGTAGAGGATTTTCATTGGTCCCTACGAGCTTCCTATCTGATTAAATGCTGATCCCACCAACAAAGCTGCCCCAGGAAGAGGAATTTAAATTCCCTCCTGTTCCCTACAAGACCAATTTTACTGTTCCGATACTCAAAATGTTATTGAGTTCAATACTCACGGGTTGTCCTTTGTACCAAAGGGGATTAAACTTCTCCTTAGTTCGAAGGCTAAAAAAGGCATTCATGTCCACGTCATACATGCGATTTCCAATTACACCGTGAGATTCTGGATATAGTCCCTGAAATTGAAATTAACAGCACAAGATTTTTCTGGTATTTGTATTAACAAATTAGATTTCAGACCATTAACAGTTTAGAGTACATGAGGAGAACTGGCTTTCAGTGACTGGCAGTTTGACAACCAGTGATTATAAATTTAAGATGGTTAATAAACAAATAAAATGTGGATAAAATCTTTTCTTTTTTTTTTAAGACATTGGGTGGTTGGGATTTTGAAGTGATGGTTGAAAAGAATCGCAATTTGGAAAGAGTGGGGAAATGAGACTAACTGGATTACTCCCTGAAAGTGCTAGCAAAGATAGGTAGAAATAACATTGTACTTAAAACAAGGAACTGCTCGCCTTGCCCACTTCAGGGGAACCTAAAGGTTCAATGTGATGAATACCTTGCATTCTATACCAGAGGTGCGTAACCTGACACACTCGTAAAGCCAGTCACATTGCCAAATCACAGGCCAAACCTGAAATGACATCAATCTTTGTTTGTTTATGGTCATAAAGTCATAGAGTTGTACTGCACATAAACAGTCCAACTTGTCCACACTGAATGGATATCTAATCTGATCTAGTCCCACTTGCTAGCATTTGGCCCATATCCCTCTAAATCCTTCCTGTTCATGTAGCCATCCAGACGCCTTTTAAATGTTGTGATCGTACCCGCCTCCATCACCTGTTCTGGCGGCTTGTTCCGTACACGCACCACCCTGTATGTGAAAATGCTGCCCCTCAGGTCCCTTTTAAATCTTTCCCCTGTCCTGTCACCTTAAATCTATGTACTCTAGGTTTGGACTTACCTACCCTGGGAAAGAGACATTAGCTATTCATCCTATCTATGCCCCTCATCATTTTATAAACCTCTACAAGGTTTACACTCAGCCTCTGACCCTCCAGGAAAAGTAGCTCCAGCATATTCAACCTCTCACACAACATCATTCCTATAGCAGGGAGCTCGGAATTGAATACAGTATCCTAAAAGTAGCCTAACCAATGTCCTGTACAGCTGCAATATAATGTCCCAACTCCAATACTCAATGCACTGACCAATGAAAGCAAGCGTGCCAAATGCCTTATTCACCGCCCTGTCTACATATGACTCCACTTTCAAGGAACTATGCACCTGCACCCCTAAGTTTCTTTGCTCAGCAATACTCCTCAGGGCCCTACCATTAACTATATAAGTCCTCTATCCAAAATATTTTTACAACTGACCATAACCTGTGCTTGTGGAAACCAAGGCTTCTTTTAAAAAGTGACTATTCTTACCTTACCTACAGCTCATTTTACCCCTTTCCGATGACCTCAACCAGTTAAGTGATTTCTTAAAATGGTGCATTGCCTCAACTGCCCTTCAGTGAATACATGAAGTTGACAGACCTATATTCTGTGTACCTGCCTCTTTATGCAAGTACAGTGTGCACAGCACCAGCATCACATCCCAATTTAAGTATAAATCAGTCTCCAGAACAAGGTGTCACATTCTATAAAACAACTGCGTTGCTGGTTAAATTACATTATAATATACTGTATTCTTGACAATTTCAAACAAAGTATGTTTTCAACACTGTCGCAGCAGAATTCTGCAGTCCAAGAGACTACACTTCATAACTGGTGTTAAAAGGGGAAAAAACCCTAAAGTAGCAGCACTAAGAAATAATATGCACGTGAAAGAGGCTAAACAGTTAAGTTAATAGAAACAGAATATATTGCAAAGGAAAGCAGGAGGTAAATGGGGCTAATGACCAATAAATCCCTGGACCTGATGAGATGCGTTCCAAGATACCACAGGAAATAGCAACAGAGAGAATAGATGCATTGGTAATAATCTTCCAAGAATCCCTATAGTCTGGAACAGTCCCAGAGGACTGGAAAATAGCCAATCTGACATCTTTGTTTAGAAATGGAAGGAGATGAGAAGCAGGTCAGTTTGCTTGACATCTGTTATTGGGGAAATGTTACAGTTTATTATAAAGCTTACAATAATAGAGCGTTTAAAAATGTATAATATGATCAAGAAGAGTCATGAAGCTTCATGAAGGGAAATCATACCAGACAAGTTTATTACAATGCTTTGAGGAGGTAAAAAGCAGGATAAATAATGGGAGAAGAAGTGCATTTAATATATTTGAATTTTCAGAAGCCGTTTGATAAGGTATTACACATTAAGCTACATAAGACAACAGCCTATGGTGTTGGAGGTAATATATTTGCATGGATACAGGATTGAATAACTAATGGAAGATACAGATTTGAGGTACATGGGGCATTTTCAGAATGGCAACCTGTAACTAGTGGAGTGCCACATAGATCAGTGCTGGGGCCACAATTATGTACGATATATATTAATGGCTTGGATGTGGAAAATAAATAGACTTTAGCCAATTTTACGGATGCCTCAAAAGCATATGGGGGAGGCAAGTGATGAGGATGACAAGAGTCGGCAGAAAGGTTAAGCAAGTGGGCAAAAACTTGGCAGATGAAAAATCACTTCCTTGCTGTTGTACTCCACGCCCCTATTGCCAAGGACAAGGGTACTGTGTGCTTTATTAACTGATCTTTCCACTTGTTCTGTCACCTTCAATGCTTGTGCACTTATACAGCCAGGTTCCTCTGCTCCTGCACCCTCTAACTTGTATCACCTATTTTATATTGTATTTCAATGTTCTTCCTTCAAATACATCACCTCACTTCTCTGTATTGAAACTCATCTGATATCTATCAGCCTGCTCCATCAACTTGTTGTTGTCCTTTTGGAGCTCTACATTATCCTCACAGTTCACAGTTCTTCCACGTTGCAGGTCATCTGCAAACTTTGAAACTGTCCCGCGCACACCAAGTTCTAGATTATTAACATGCATCAGGAAAAGCAAGGATATAATAATGATCCTGGAGGATGCCCACCACAAACTTTCCTTCAGCCTATAAAATATTAATTGACCATTACTCTGTTTCCTGTCACGCAACTAATTTAATATCCACATTGCTAATTGCTCTTATTTCATGACCTATATCTTTCCTCACAAGTCTTTTGAATGACACTGTACCAAATACCTTCTGGAAGTCCATGTACGTCATAACAGACTTGATAACAGATGCTGTGATATGTCCTCAAAAAATAACTCCAGCCAGTTGGTAAATTTTCCCTTCAGAAATCCATGCTGACTTTCTAATTGACCCACCTTTTTCTATGGTGACTAGTAATTCTGTCCTGAAAAATTATTTCTAAAAGCTTTTCTACCATTCAAGTTAAGCAAATGCTCAACTTGTCTTTACAACTTTTCTTGAACAAGGTCATGATGTTTATAATTCTCAGTTTTCTGGCCCCTTCCCTGAGTCTAGAGAAGACTGTGGTCAGGTCCACTGCTATTTCCTTCACTATCCTTCGATGCATCTCATCCAGTCTCGATCCCTTGTCAAATCTTAAGTGTTAATAGAAAATCCAACAATTCTTCCTCATCAACCCTTCCAGTGCCGAGTTGTCTCTACGTCACAATGGGCCAGGCAGAAACTCTCTCTCTCCTTGGTAAAGACAGATACAAATATTCATTTAACACACCAACCATGCCCCCATCTCAGTGTATAAATACTCTTTTTGGCCTCTAATCAGCCCTAATCCTCCTGTTACCACTCTTTTACTACCAATATACCTATACGGATAATCCCTTTGTATTGACTGCCAGTCTTTTCTCATTATACCTCTTTGCTTCTCCTATTTGCTTTTTTGTGTATTCTTCTCTGTACTTAATTGTATTATCTACCTGAAACCTGTCTTTAGTACATTTTCCTTCTTCATCTTAATTTCTATTTCCATTGTCATCCAGGAAACTCTGTGTTTGTACGTTCTACCTTTCACATTTGAGGGAATATACAAGAACTGCACGCATTGCACTGCTCATTTGAAGGTAGCTCTTTGCTCAGATATTGTTTTTCCTGTTAATTGCTCATTCTGGATTGCCCTTCCTGGCTCTGTCATTGTCCCACTGAGGTCAGCTCTCTGCTCAATAGATTTTTTCCCCCTCTGGATTGACCGATGTCATTCTCCACCCTTATCGTGAACTTTACAATACAATGATCACTGTCTCTGAGATCTTCCCCTACTGACACTTGATCCACTTGGCCTATTACATTTCCAAGAACCAGGCCCAGAAAGTGCATCCTTTCTTGTTGGACTGGTCATACACTGCTGTAGGAAATTCCGCTGAACACAACCAGGAACGCTTGCCCCTCAATGCCCCTTACTCTACCAGTATTTGAGTCTATATTTGGGTAATTGAAGTCAACCCATTATAACTACTTTTTAATGTTGGCATCTCTGTAATTTCTCTGCAGATTTCTTCTTCCACATCCTTCCCAATAGTTGTTGCTTCATAGACTACACCTAGCACTGTACTTATATCATTATTTTTGTTCCTTAGCTCTAGTCAAATGATTCTGTCCTTGAACCCTCTGAGACACACTCTTTTTTAAGTACTGCAACATTCCTTAATCAATACTTCCAACCCCTCTCTTTTCCTTCCGTTTCTATTTTTTCAGAACAACTTGTACACAGGAATACTCAACACCCAGTACTGCCCGTCCTTGAGCCAGAGCTCTTTTCTCAACAGCATCATATTTTCATATTGCATATTTCACCTATTAAATTGCTACTTGTGATGCTAGTTCAAACTGTATTGTCAAGTACACTATGAACCATGGTAATCTTCTTTAATATTCTTTCTTGGTTCCCACATCACTGCCAAGTTAATTCACCGGCATCCCCGCACACCACCCCACCCAATAGCACTTGTAAATTGCCCCACAAGGAATGCACTCCCGGTTCTATTCAGGTAGAACTCTTGGGACAGGTGCCATCTTCCCCAGTCCCAGTGTCCAGGAACCTAAAGTCCTCCCTCCTGCACCATGTTTCCAGCTGTGCATTCATCTGCCTTATTTCAATTCTCTGGAGCCTGATTTTTGTTTTAATTCAATAAAAAGAAAGATATTTTGAGTCACGAATGACTCTATTAAATGGAAAGAGACGAAAAAAAAGAGTCAAAGAAATAAAGTCAGAATTGCATTTCTATAATGACAAACATTTCTCTACAACTTTTGAACATTTCATAATACAATGTGTTACTTTTGAAGTGTACTGACTGTTTGAAAGAGATCAGAAAATTAAAACTAAACAGTTATAAAAAGTCATGGATGACGGATGACTAAATGGCCACTTGCCTAGAGTTCTGGAAATGTAGTTCAGCTGCTTAACTCTCACATGTACAATCTCCAAGTCCTGACATGCTACCATGCTGTGACTCCAAAGCATGGCTTATTCTGTATACTCAAGTGTTAGTCAAAAACTGATATGATTTTATCTCCAGCCAGGTATTTGCTTCATGTGGCAATGCTTATGTTATCAAACCTAATACAAGTAAGTTGGATGGATAGTGTGGTATTGAAGAATCCAACAAAGGTTTATTGCAGCTAACTCACATATGTAAATATTAGATTACAACAGGGAGTACCAGTAGCGTGTCATACTTCATCTGGAAGATGAAGGGTTTATAGCAAGCCGAAGTCTCTGTGTGGATTAAGCCTACTTTTTTAAAATGAGTTGATTGAACCAGCAGTTGAGTTAAGCGGATTCTCTGTCCGCCCTACTAATTAATTTAGTCTCCATTTTGCAGTTGACAGAAATTTACAGTTCGATTCCACAGTGTCTCCAGAAAGGCAAACAGCCCAGGTACTGCTTTAAACTGTCTCAGGACTGATAGAGACCACTGGATTGGGCCAGCAGCAACTCCAAGCTACAAACTGCGAACCTCTTTCAATTTCTTACAGACTGTGATTTGGCCAAATCCAGCCTCGTGCATTGTAATCTCTATTTTGAGTGGGAGCTTCAAATTCATTATACTAACTTCATTTGCCAGCCTTCATCATCAATCTGTTAAACAATTTGGCACAGGGGTTGAGTGAGGTAAAACTTTTTTCAATAATGTTCTTCCCCAACTACCAAATGATCTGCCACTTGCAAATTCTAAATCTTGTCACCTGTAGCAGGGAGTCAGGAAGGTCAATAGGAAAACTGAATGTCATGTGCCTAAATGGTGTTTTCTTTTTGAAAAATTGATTCTGAACAACGACATGGGATGGTTGTTAGGATATGAAGTAGATGACTAGAAACAGTGCCACAAACAGAATTTAATATAATAGAATACTGGACAGGGACATAAGCCTAGACCCTCTCAGGCATAATGGTCTAAAGAAGCTCCTCGGTCAAACAAAATCCTATTTGAGGGGAAACTAGCAATTTGTACCCAATGCAAACCTTTACCAGGCTTTTGTCTCGTTTAGGTATGATGGGCAAGCTGCAGGTAACAGTTGTTACTGAATTTTAAAATGGTGATTTTTATATAAAAATATAAGTGAAACAAGATTACCTAGAGTGTAGATGCCTATGATAGCTCTTCAAACTAAAATAAACCACTTATGACTGAGACATAATAATGGGTCAGGAAGATTTTGTCAGCAAAAATGTAATATCATGAAGCAACACATATATCAGGACCTGCCCCAATGTCATAAAACAGCATACATCTACTTACTGTGATGACTGTGTAGTGGTTAGGAAAGGTTTTGGTTGGGTACACTGGCGTCAAATATGAAGTATGCACACCACAGGTACCTGCCAAGAATCATAATAAATAAAATAAACTTGCTTTTATTCCATCTGCTACAACTCACCTTACGTAAATTAATTTGTCAATATCAATAGATTTCAGAAATGAGTTTCAGGTATGAGAAAGGTTCCACTATATTGGAAAATAGTAAATGTAACTCATTTAAACAAAAGCTGAGGTAGAAGGCAGTAAACAAAAGGCCAGTTAGCCTAAATGACAGTCATAGGGAAGATGTTAGAAACTACTTTTAAGACATTGTCATTGGGTAACAGAAAAGCTCAAGGTAATCAGTCAGAGTCAACATAGTTTTGTGAAAGGGAATTCATCTTTAATCAATTTATTGGCGTTCTTTGAGGGAGTAATATATGCTGTTGATAAAACGGGAACCAGTGGAGGTACGGTACTTGGATTTCAAGAAGGTATTAAAGAAGGTTTATGGTAGAAAATAAATGCTCGTGGGGTAGTGGGTAATTTTAGCATGGACAGAAGATTGGTTAGCTAACAAGAAACAGAGAGATAGCATACATGAGTCATGTTCTGTTTGGCATTACGTAATGAGTGGTATGCCACAGGGATCAGTGTTGGAGCTCAAATGTTTACAATTTAAATAAATAAATTGGATGAAGAGTGTATAAGTACGATAATTAAATGTACTGATGATAATGTGAAATTATCCATTTTGGCAGAATAGTATATAATTATCCAAGTAGTCACCGAAACCCCAGGGGGACTAGAATGTCCTAGTGTATAAATTGCAAAGGTTAATATGGAGGTACAAGTAATTATGAAAGCAAATGGAATATTATAGCTTATTGTAGTTAAACAAGGCACTGTTGAGATTACAATGTACAGTACTGGTGTCCCTATTTAAAGGAAACGTTTAAATACGTTGAAAACAGTTCAGATGAAATATTATGACTAATACTTGGAGCGGATAGCTTCTCCTATGTGGAAAGGTTGGACAGGTTGAATTTGTATCCACTGGAACATAGAAGAGTAAGACGCAGTCTGATTGGAGCAAGTAAGACTCTATAGGGTCTTGACAGGATGGATGTGGAGAGGATGTTACTTCTTATAGCAGAATTTAGAACTCAGGGTTCCTGTTTAAAAATTACAGATCACTATTTACGACAGAGATGAGGAGAATTTGTGTTCTCAGAGAGGGTCACAAGTTTTTCGAATGCTTTTCCTCTAAAAGGTTTTGATTGCATTGTCTTTGAACATTTTTTAAGGCAGAGATAGATCTTGTTAAGCAGCCAGTTATCAATTTGTGCCTGTCCACTTCACACCCATCCAACTTCTATCATCAAGAATTGGAAGAACTGGAAATGAGGAGGGGTGAGACTTCCAGACCTCGATTCAGCCCACCATTTTGAAGTTCCACTGAGTCTCCATGGCTCTGTGCAAATCTGACTCAAACCATCAGATTACACCAAGTGTTGCAACATTTCCATGTCTTTACTTCACAAAATGATCCTTTATTCTACTATTCATTGCCTTTTCGGGTCAATCACAACAATGACAGTTAGGGAGTAAAGCATTGATCGGCAATATAACTACAATAAAGGACAACTTGAAAAATAAAAATAAAACAAACTGAGAAAGGAGCAGATTCAAAATTGAAGCCACTTAAGTTTAAACTTTTTAAAATGTAAAACATTTTTGTTAGATATTTTACCTCAGATACTTTATGGCATCTCTGTATAAATAAATATGTTTCATTGTGTAGTCTGAAAATTGCCAACAATTTTCAGTATATTTCTGTAAATCAGGGAGCTAAATTGAACAACCCCGTAAGTGGGCATGGGGATCACAAGGCATAATTAACTCACCACACCAGTTATTTAAAACATAGGCATTTTAAAATGCTGCCATCTTGGCCCTGCCTGCTCACCATTTTGTATATTGGCTGCACAACTCATCACGGGGCACATAATCACAATATTGTAGCGCTTCTTAAAAACTAGCACCGCTTAAAGTTGGCCCACATCTCTGAAAGAAAAAAATGCAGAATGGCAGAAGCTGAGAGTCAGGTAGGAAGGGATCTTGGCTTGGAAACTGATGAAAAATAGCAGAATATTTGAGGGACTGGGGGCTCCAATGATTTCCGAAGAAGGCCCCAAAGACAACCAGGGGCTCCTCTTGAAAGATGGTCAAAAACAAGCAGGTAACCTAATTGGAGTGATCCAGAACAGTGAATAGATCTTCAAGTATCACATCCCATAAAGTGCACCAATAACCTCACAAACTGCTCAATGCCCAATACTCCGCATCACTCAGCTATGAATAATTTCCAGTCAGGACTCAGGCACAGCATTCATGTATCCCATCTTACATTCGCACACTTAGCACTGCTGGAAGCCTCAGCTCATGCACACTGCCAGCAATTCAACTATAATAAACCATAATGGCTGTGCCCTTAATCACAGATGCACTGAGTTCTTAAATCTCTATTTTACTCTTGCAAAGTACACCTTATAAATGACTGCTTTGGACAAATGTTTGATCATCTAGCCAAAATCTCCTTACATGGTCCAAAATCACATACAGTCATAGAATCATACAGCACAGAAACAGGTCCTTTGGCCTAACTTGTCCATGCTGGCCAGGTTTTCTAAACTGACCGCGCCCCTTTTGACTGCATTTGGCCCATATCCCTCTAAACCGTTCTCATCTATGTACCTGTCCAGATGTCTTCTAAATGTTGTAATTGTACCCACCTCTACCACTGCCTCTGGCAACCCGTTTCATATACACATAATCCTCTGTGTGAAAAAGTCGCCCCTCAGGTTCCTTTGAAATCTGTCTCCTCTCAACTTAGACTAAGCCCTCTAAGTTTTGGACTCCCCTACCCTGAGGAAAAGACCTTGGCTATTCTATGCCCCTCTTGATTTTATAAACCTCTTTAAAGGTTACCCCTCTGTCTCCTATGTTCCAGGGTGAAAAGTCCCAGCCTATCCAGTCTCTCCTTATAACTCAAACCGTCCAGTCTCGGTAACATCCTTATAAATCGTTTTTCCATCCTTTCCAGTTTTGTATTGCTCTGACACATGGTTACTGCAGTGTGCATCATCTGCAAGATGCTCTGCATCAGGTCATTGATGCTCATTTAACAGCATTTCCCAGACCCATAGAGCAGTTAAGAAGAGATTTTAACAGCATACTATCTGGCAGGGAGTCAACTAAAGGTCAATGAGCACAGAGGTCATAGGTAAACACTGGCATGGTATCAGTAAAGTCAGGACAACAGCAGAGCTTTGAATGATGAAACGTTTGCAGAGGTCAGAAATCACACAACACCAGGTTATAGTCCAACATCAGAGGGAATATTGTAGGAGATGAGCAAGAAGTGCATGGGGATAACCAATCCCAGAGGTAACAAAGGCATGAATGAGGATTTCAATAGCAGATGAGGTGAGAATTGGACAAAGTTAAGGATGTAGAAATAGACATTCTGCGTGATGGTGCACTTATTTGGTTTAAGCCAAAACATATCTAGTTTGTGCAGAAGCTTTGAAGTCAAGACAAAGTTCTTTAGCAGTTGCTACACCCCTCTCCGTAGATTTTTGGAAGTCAAAAGAACCCACAAACCAGCAGTCAAAGAAAAACAAATCAAACAATAACTAACTTGCAAGCAGTTGATGATCACTTTAAATAGCATTGGTATGAGTTACGTCCTACCACTTAAGGTGTGTTCACAGTGTGTGCTTGAGGGAGTTCGCAACTGGGGCATGGTGCACCTAAATGCGTAGACTAATTAGTAATGTTAAATCACATGGCATTCAGGGTGAGCTTGCCAATTGGATACAAAATTGGCTTTATGTTAGGAGGCAGAAGGTGGTAGTGGAGGGTTATTTTTTGGACTGGAGGCGTGTGACCAGCCGTGTTCCACAGGTATTCTCACTGGGCCCACTCTTGTTTGTCATCTACATAAACAATTTAGATGAGCATATAGGAGGTATGGTTAGTGAGTTTGCGGATGGCACCAAAATTGGTGGTATAATGGACAGTGAAGAAGGTAATCTAAGATTACAAACAGATCTTGATCAATTGGGTCAATGGGCTGAGGAGTGGCGGATGGAGTTTAATTTGGAGCAAATGCAAGCTATTCCACTTTGGTTAAACAAACAAGGACAGGACTCATACAATTAATGGCAGGGCCCTGGGTAGTGTTGTAGAACAGAGAGACCTAGGAGTTCAGATACATAATTCTTACAAATTTTCATCACAGGTAGACAGGGTGATTAAGGCAGCATTTGGTACACTTGCCTTCATTGCTTAGACCTTTGAATATAGGAGCTGGGATGTCATATTGAGGTTGTCCCGGATGTTGGTGAGGCCTGTGTGCAGTTCTGGTCACCCTAATATAGGAAGGATATTATTAAACTGGAGAGTGTTCAAAAAAGATTTACCGGGATGTTGCAGAGAATGGAGGGTTTGAGTTATAAAAATAGGCTGGAACTTTTCTCATTGGAGCATAATAAGTTGAGGGGTGACCTTATAGAGGTTTATAAAATTATTTAGGGCATGGATAAGGTGAATAATAAGGGTCTTTTCCCTAGGGTGGGGGAGTTCAAAACTAGGGTGCCTACATTAAGGTGAGAGGAGAAAGTTTTAAGAAGGATACGAGACAACATTTTTTGACACAGAGTAGTGGCAAGAACTGCTAGGGGAAATGGCAGATACATGTACAGTTACAACATTTAAAATACATTTGGATGAGTACATGAATAGGAAAGATTTAGAGATATATGGGTCAAATGCAGCCAAATGGGATTAGTTTAGTTTGGGAACATGGTCGGCATGGGCTACTTGGTCTGTTTCCATGCTGTATGTCTCTATACCTCTGACTCTAGAAATGCCAATGCTGGCATCAAATCAACATTGCAACCAGATTGATGTCATGATCCTGCTTGCTCTGCATATAATTCCAATTTTGCCTATAATTCCAACTTTGTTACACGTATATATCATAACATAATCAGGCATGAATAGCTGCAAAATTGACTGCGCATACAGAAAATGCAAGTTTAGTCCCTGAACAGCACATGTAGCACCCATTCACTGTATGTTACTGAGCCCAATTCATTGCCCAGTGTTCTACAAGTCTCTGACAACTTCAACAAAACATCCATGTTAAAAATGTTGAAAGTGCATTCAGCCAAGCATATGTAGCCATAATGAAGCAGCATCAAAATTTACTCTTCTGAACATCTATTTAGATAAACAGCAGAAAAGCATGAAGCATAAGCTCAAAGAAATTTGATGTTTTAACTCTCAACAGAAACAGATTTAAAATTGGAGCTAAGTTACAGCACAAGCAGAGACCATTTCTATCATATGTATCCATGCCAACTCTCACAATAGTTTCTTGGCTAGTAACAATTCTGCACCCTTTCCACGTAGTTCTGCAAATTGTTTCTCTTCAGGTGCTCAGCCAATTCCATTTTGAAAACTACAACTGAATCTGTCTCCACTACAATTTCAGGCAGCGTATTCCAAGTCATAACTGTTCGCTGTATAAAAATGTTTTCCTATGTAGTCTTTGGTTCTTTTGCCATTCACCTTAAATTGGTGTCCCCTGGCTCTGACACTTCCACCAATGAGAAGCATTTTTTTCTATCTACTCCGCACAAACCCTTCACAACTTTGAACACCTTCATCAAATGTCCTCTTAACCACTTTTCTTTGGGGAGAACAACCCTTGTGTCACCAATCTATCTCCATAAGTGAAGTTTCTCATCCGTGGAAGCATACTCATACATCTTTCTTGCACCCTCACTGAGGTTTTCTCATCCTTCCTACAGTGTTGTGCTCAGAAATGTACAGACCACTCCAACTGAGGCAGAGCTGTAATTTCCTGGAATTTGTAGTCTCTGCCTCTACTAATAAATTTGGTTTCAAGATATTCAAACAACATTGTAAATGAGAAGATAAGAGTTTAGGTTTAAAGCACTGTATGCTTTTCAGTATAATAGTTTTTTTTTGTAAAGCATTATATTAACATGGTGCAGCCAAGATATTTTATTTCATGTTCCATTCATTTTCTTCTTATTATTTGGCTCTATTAAAAAGCCGAAAGGCCAAGTAGAGGGAGTGAATATTTCTGGATGTAGTGCCAATCAATTGGGCTACTTTATCCTGGATGATGTCAAGCTCCTCGAGTGTTGTTGGAGTTGAACTTATCCAGGCAAGTGGACAGTACACTCCTGACTTGTGCCTTGTAGATGGTGGACAGGCTTTGGGGAGTCTCGTCTCTCAACCATTCCTGTAATCACAGTGATTATATGGCTTGTCCAGTTCAGTTTCTGGTCGATGATAGTCCCTCAGGATGTTGGCAGTGGGGGATTTTAAAGCGTAAACGTTAAAAATGCAACACCATCATTGGACTTAATTTTTAAAGATATAATTTGTCATAGACTGCCATGTAATTCTATGGTCAGATGCTCGGCAAAAAATTAGCTGATATTTGGAACGTCTATTGAAATATTGCAAGATGAAAGACACAGTGTATGAATCGAAGTTGATTGCTGGGCGGGAAGAAGGAGCTCAAGCAATAACAGTCAGAACACATCAACATAAAGAAGAGAACAGAATGTATTTATTCTTCTCCCTTTTGATGCTACTTACGCAGTTTGTCTATAACAGGCACAGAACTCTTCCACTTCTGCCAATAATCAAATCTGAATCCGTCTAATGAAAACAAGATCAAAGGAGGCTGTGAAAACCTGTAAAGAAAAAAAGTCAACAGATTTGAAAGAAATTTAGGGTCAAATTGTTGCCATTTTGTTCAGAGAAACAAATATTTAATGAATTATAGAATCCATTTTTTTTGCTGTTCTCATTTGTGTATAAAATAACACAACTGCACTATTCCTTACATCAGGCAGCAATTTGTCATTTAACATCATCCCATACAATCTCAATATGCAGCATTCAAATCGCCTTGCTGTTGTTCCACATTACCATCACTGTATGCAAAGATTATCTACATATTTCCCACTTTGAGCCTGGGAACAGCAAGTCTCAGGTAACATGGCAGCAGGCAATCTTGGGAGTTTGTATGAGCCTCTGACAGATTCAAAGCAGTAAAGAGTTTTAGCTATGCTGGGCCCAGATTGCATTGTCCCATAGTGGTCTCCAATAGTCTTTTTAAAAGACCACTGCTTAAACACTCACTGCCTTGTGCAATATGTGCTGTGCCACTTTGTGAACCACACAAAACAGAAGTTATCTCCTGTCCCCATATCTGTTGTCTAGAAATGTTGTAATACTACTTGTTAGTTTTACCCATAAAACTCATTGATAATGAACTCAAAATGATCTAATGATTATGAGCTGCTTTCTGCTGAGAAAAGTCAGCAAAATCACGTTGCACTTATAGTAAAATTAAATATGTTGAGTGCTTTGAAACAGGCAAACATGCAGCAAACATTACTAAGGCTCTTGATTTGCCATCAACAGTGATAATAACTAATACCACAGATTAAATAAGTCTGCTAAACTAACAGTTTCTTGACCACAATTGGCTTATATAGAAATAATCAGAGCAGATTTTTGAAAAGACAAGAAAAGACTGCTAACCACTTGAATTGAATATCAAAGTTAATACCACATGCCACTTTGTTCAATGCTTATTCAAAAGACTATAAACTTGTATGACAGCATGAAGAAACACTATAGTGCAAGTTCAAACATGGGAACCATTTAATACAAGTTGTAGGATGCTTGCAAAGTATAGAAAAATGTGCTAACTAGAAAGACATCTGTTACAATTAGGGAAGCTGCCAGTGCAGATGTTAAAGCAGCTGAACCCTCCACTAATGCATTAAGTTAAATAATTTTGGAGATTGGAAATACTCCTCAACAAGTATTCAAACACGATGGTTTATTCCAGAAAATAGTGCATTCTAGAACATGCATTTCAAGAGAAGGAAAGGAGAGAGTATGCCAGGCTTTAAAATAGCAAAGGTTTGACTGCTGTTTGGTGAAAATGCAGATTTTAAAATGAAGCCAATGGTCATTTCCCAGTACCTAAATCCATTTGAGCTTCAGATTTCCAAAGCCTTTCCCCATATAAAAAATAGTCCAAGCCTCTTTCTTCCCATCAAATGCGTAACCTTACACTTTCCCTCAATATATTCCATCTGCCACTACTTTGCCCACTCTGCCAGCCTGTCCAAGTCTTTTTGTAGCCTCCTGCTCCTTCAACACTACATTCCACCTATCTTTGTGTCATCTGCAAACTTAGCAACAATACCCTCAGTTCCTTCGCTCAGATTGTTAATGTATAATGTGAATAGTTGCAATCACAACATTGACCCCTGCAGAACTCCAATAGTCACCAGCTGCCATCTTGAAAAAGACCTCTTTATCTCTACTCACTGCCTTCTGCCAGTCAGCCAATCCTCTATCCATGCCTAATGACATGGGCTTTTATTTATCAAGCCTCTGTGTGGCACCTTGTCAATGGCCTTCTGAAAATCCAACTAGGTTATGTCCAATAACACTCCTTTGTCTAACTTACTCATTATCTCTTCAAAGAATTCCACCAGATTTATCAGGCATGACTTCCCCTTGATGAAACTGCGCTGACTCAGCTCTATTTACCATACACTTACAGGTGCTCTGTAATCTCATCCTTAATACCGGACTCTAAATCTTAACGATAACTGAGGTCAGGCTAACCTGCCTATAGTTTCCTATCGTCTGCCTCCCTCCCTTCTTGAACAGGGGTATTACATTACCCAATTTCCAGTACTCCGTGACCTACCTGATTTCAGTGTTTCCAGAAAGATCACCACCAATGCCTCTACAATCTCCTCAGCTATCTCCTTCAGAACTGTGCGGTGTAGTCCATCTGGTCTGGATGATTTATTCACCTTCAGCTTCTCAGCACCTTCTCCTCAGTGATGGTCACGTCACTCACGTCTGCCCCCTGACTGTCTTGAAGTTTAAAGCTTTTGAGAAGATTTGTAGCTCAGGTTGTGGATGAGGTTGTAGACTTGCTTGCCGAGCCAGTGTGTTTGATTGCAGATGCTTCGTAACTCTCCAGAGGCGCATTGACGATGTTAGCTAGCAGAGTGATAAAATGTCTGCAACCAAACACACCGGCTCAGCGAGCAAGTCGACAACCTCTTTCAAAGTTCTGGTAGGTTGCTGGCGTCTTCCACAGTGAAAACCGATGCAAAGTACCTATTCAATTCCTCCGCCATTTCTTTGTTCCCCATTGCTACTTCTCCAGCCTCGTTTTCTAGCGGTTCAATGTTCACTCTTGGCTCTCTCTTCTTTTATATTACTAGGTAGGTTACACTCATATTTCATCTTCTCCCCGCTTATTGCTTTTTTAATTACCCTCTGCTGGTTTTTAAAGACTTCCCAATCCTCTGGCTTCCCATTAATCATAGAATCCCTACAGTGTGGAAGCAGGCCATTTAGCCCATCAAGTCCACACTAACCCTCTGAATAACATCCCACCCAGACCCAAGCTCCTATTCTATAACCCTATATTTTCCTGGCCTGTACATCCCCCGGACATTATGGGCAATTTAGCATGGCCAATCTACCTAACCTGCACATCTTTGATCTGTGGGAGAAAACCTGAGCACCCAGAGAAAACCCACACAGGCACGGGGGGAATGTGCAAACTCCACACAGTTGCCCGAGGATGGACTCAAACCCAGGTTCCTGGCGCTGTGAGGCAGCAATGCTAACCACTGAGCCACCATGCTGTCCTACATAATCTTTACCACATTGTATGTTTTTTCTTTTACTTTTTAATTTTACTTTTCAAATTGGCACAGGGAGGCGAAGATCAGGGAAGTAAACACGTGGCTAAAAGAGTGGTATGGGAAAGAGGGTTTCCTTTTCATGGGGCACTGGCATCAGTTCTGGGACAGGAGGGATCTCATACCGCTGGGATGGACTCCACCTGAACAGGGACGGGTCCAGTGTTCTGGCGAAAAGGGTAAATAGGGTGGTCAATAGGACTTTAAACTAGTAAGTAGGGGGGAAGGGAGGAGTGAGCATATAGGGAGTATAACAATTAATGGAAGGCGAAGCAGCAGGTTAACAGGTGATGAGGAAGCTTCAACTCCATTAAAAATTAGGAAAAAAGTTAAAGGGAAGAACTCAAGAGCTGTTAGCAATGGAGGTGATAGGACCCAAAAAGAAGATGCAAAAACTGGCATAAGGGCACTTTATCTGAATGCTCGGAGCATTCAAAACAAGGTGAATGAGTTGACGGCACAAATCATGGCAAATGGGTATGATTTAGTGGCCATTACAGAGACATGGTTGCAGGATGGTCACTACTGGGAGTTAAATATCGAGGGGTATCAAATTGTTCCAAACGACAGACAGGAAGGCAAGGGAGGTGGTGTCGCTCTGATTTTTAAGGACAATATCAGGGCGGTAGTGAGAGATGATATAGGTTCTACTGAACAATAGGTTGAATCCATTTGGGTGGAAATTAGGAATAGCAGGGAGAAGAAGTCACTGATAGGTGTGGTCTATAGGCCACCAAATAGAGACATCGTGGTGGGACGGGCAATAAACATAGAAGTAGCTAATGCATGTAAAAATGGTACAGCAATTATCATGGGGGATTTTAATCTACATATCGATTGGTCAAACCAGGTCGGTCATGGCAGCCTTGAGGAGGGGTTCATAGAATGCATCCGCGATAATTTCCTTGAACAATATGTAATGGAACCTACGAGGGAGCAAGCTATCCTCGATCTAGTCCTGTGTAATGAGACAGGAATAATTAATGATCTCACAGTTAGGGATCCTCTCAGAAGGAGCGATCACAGTATGGTTGAATTTAAAATACACATGGAGTGTGAGAAGGTTAAGTCCAGTACTAATGTCCTGTGCTTAAACAAAGGAGACTATGATGGGATGAGGGAAGAGTTAGCTAAGGTAGAATGGGAGCAAAAACTTTATGGTGGGTCAATTGAGGAACAGTGGAGGACTTTCAAAACTATTTTTCACAGTGCTCAGCAGAAGTATATTCCAGTGATAAGGAAGAACTATAGGGAAAGAAATAGTCAGCCATGGATGTCTAAGGAAACAAAGGAAAGTATCAGATTAAAAAAAAAACATACAAAAAAAAAGCAAAGAGTAGTGGGAAACTAGTAGACTGGGAAATCTTTAAAGGCCAACAGAAAGCCACAAAAAAAGTTATAAAGAAAAGTAAGATAGATTATGAGAGTAAACTAGCTCAGAATATAAAAACAGGCAGCAAAAGTTTCTATAAATATGTAAATCGTAAAAGAGTGGCGAAGGTAAACATTGGTCCTTTAGAAGATGAGAAAGCCAATTAAATAACTGGGAATGAGGAAATAGCCGAGGCATTAAACAGTTATCTTGTGTCGGTCTTCATGGTGGAAGACACAAATAACATGCTGAAAACTGATGGCAAGAAGATTATAGCAGGTGAGGACCTAGAAACTATCATTATCACTAAGGAGGCAGTGCTGGGCAAGCTAACGGGACGAAAGGTAGACAATTTTGAGCCCAGCATTTACCTCTAATCTTGTTGATCCTGTGCCAATTTGCCAATTACCACAAAAGCATTTGTGGGCATGTCTTCAGGGAAACTGAAGGAGAAGATTTTGCTCTAGCTGTGAATGATTTTTTGAAGTGTTACAACGTTATTAAGACCATTGATAATATGCGGATAGAATGGAATTAGGTCACCTCAGGAATGGTGTGTGGTGAAAAT